CCAGAAAATAATATAAATAAAATAAAATAAATAGTACATAAACACCCTCATTTAATTACTCTCTCATCTCTCTCTCCCCTGCATCTTTTTCTTTTCAATTTTTTTTTTCTTTTCTTTCGAATTCCATTTTTTTGTATTGAAGAAATGTTATACAAATGAAAAAATATGGGAGCTTTTTATTTTATGAGATGATTTTTAGGTGAAAGAGTTAAGAGCGGAGAACAAACATCACCCTCCCAACCCCTCCAAAAGAAAAAGAAAAACGAATTTCTGAAATCCAAAATCCTAGCCAAAATTCGCATTGCGTGTTTTGTATGTAGAACATTCCCATCATTTATTATTAGCATTTTTTCTTTGCATTTTGGGTTAAATTCGTTTGTTGTTTGAAGAATAGTGTTTGGTGTTGAGATTTGATCCCTCTGGTTTACAATTTGCAATGTATGTTTTAAGTTACGTTTTGCAAATATTTTTTTTTAATTTTATTGTTTTTTGCAAAGTGTTCCATAAAAAAAATTTGTTGATGTTTTTAATGATACTAATTTTTTTCTTCAATTTGTTGTTTTGTTAGTTTATTGTTTGCAATTCAACAATGAAAATTCCGTTGATTTTTTTCTTTAGTCTGTTGTTTGCATTTTGGCAAAATCTAGGTAGTTTGTTGTTTGCAATTCAATAATACAAATGTTGGATTTTGTTATTCAGTTTACTGGCATTTACCGAAATCACATGAAGTTTGTTGTTTACAATTAAATAATACAATTTTTAATTTTCAGTTTGCTATTTGTAGTCCACGGAGTTAGCGGCGGTGGCGCGACAGCGGTTAGACACGGCCACGGGCCGGGTCGGGTCCGGGTCCTACTTTTTGGGGACCCAAAACCGACCCATGTGGAGGCGGGTTTGGGTCCGGGTCGGGTCCTTCCGGGTTCGGGCCGGGTCCGAGTCGGGTCCGGGTCCAAACCTGGTCTTTTAGTTTTTTTTTATTTTTTTTAATCTTGACCGTTAGAAAAAAAATTGAATTCAGTTAGACCGAGTTCGGGTCGGCTCCAGGTTGGTTCCGGGTGGACCCGAGTTTTTAGCTGTTGAAAATAAAATAAAAAATTAAAAAAAAATTGAATTTACGGACCGGGTCCAAGTCGGGTCCGGTTTACAGCCGTTGCGTTTTCAAAATTAAAAAAAAAAAAATTCGGGTGAACCCGACGGGTCATCGGGTTCCCCCGCCGGGTAGACCCGTCGGGTCTTGGGTCCAATAAATCAAGACTCGAACCGACCCATGTAAAATCGGCTCCGGGTCCAGTTCCAAGGGGTGCGAGTCGGTTCCAGGGCAGGGCGGGTCTAAATCCGGGTCGGGTCGGGTCCAACCCGGCCCGTGACCGTGTCTAGCAGCGGTGACGCGACGGCGGTGTGTTTTTTAGAGTATGAGTTTGTTCAATAAAGTTTATTTTTGTTTTTACGAATTAGTTTTGTTTTTTAGTTAAATTTGGAAGAGAGATGTTGGGGGAATTTGTTTTGATAGAAATGTTTTTGGGGATTTAATTTTGATTTGATTAAGCGTATTCTTACCACAATGAGTATAATTAATTTATTAAATATGCAGATTTTGACCTGTATTTATAGACATAAATTATAATATAGAGAGACATGTAGCAAATTGCCCCTTTTTTAAAACATCTTATAACCTTCCTAACAGCTTATTTTTTGAAAAAAATAAGATTTTTTGTAATTTTTTTACCGAATCCATTTTAACAACTTATAAACTCTTAAACATCTTATAAGATGTTTTTAGGAGCTTACAAGCTAAGCCAAATGAGCTTCAAATAAAACTGAATTCTATAAGCATATAAATCTAAGGGTTATTTGTTAAACACCCTCTATTGAGGTTTTATTTCTTGATAAAATCCTTAATTTGTAATTGATATTTAATATAAATCCATTAGGACCGAAAAAACATTATATTCCCCCACTAATTAGAATAATTATTTTAAATAAAAATTACGGTAAATTAAATACAGAATCCCTTCCAAAATCGCATTACCTAAAACTCCTCCCAATACATCTCCATCTCTCCACAAATCTCGCCCCCAACTTCTAGTATCTCGAAAATCCATTTCATCTTTTTTCTATTGATCTCCAAATACTGCAACAATGGCTTCACGTTTACTGTAAGAAAATCTACTACTATTTTCGGACAAAAACTTATTCTCTTTAGGGCAAACAACATGCATATTGGTTCAACATCACACAAGCTTTTTCGGTAAAAAAATGACGTGTATTACAGTGAAAATGAGAATTCACTTTGCACAATAGTGGATTCAATAAAATGGGAAAGTCAAAATCCATGGATTTAATAAGGGAAGGGCATAAACCACTCTGCGCGTGAAAACCACTATGTGCGCGAAAACCACTATTTGTACAAAAATCACTCTACGTGCAAAAACTACTCTTAAATTGTTTAAGCATCAACACAACATATACAATGCACCGGACACATACAAATCTTATATATATCAACAAAACGTGTACATACATACACATACAACTTGCTGTCCAACATAAGTCATTACTAAACGTCACATATAACTCATCTTAAATTCTCATGTAACCCGAAAACTGCCATGTGAATCTGCACCGCCGCCGCTTATCCAATGAAACAAACAGATTATTATTTATGTGAGTTACAATTTCGATTCCATATAAGCGGAAATATGCAATCAATAAGCGTTAATGGTGGAATTAATTGAGAAAGTGCCTATTAAAATATTTATGTAGAAGATATTATGTATCTTCTCTAATAACAGATATTAAAAACACGTGTATTAATTAGTTAGGGACATAATAATGATAATTAAAGGTTTTTAATTAATAAAAGCTTTTTTGAATTTATCTTAAAATGAAAAATAAAATTGAATCTGATCTAATGATAATTAAAGGTTTTTGAATTAATAAAAGCTTTTTTAATTTTTTTTTTATCAAATTCAGTATAAAAAGACTATAATAACCTTAATAAAATACAAACAAAATAAAAAATCTTTTATTAATTTACTTTTGCAAGACCAATTTAAAAAAGAAAAAATAATAAAAAAAGAAAGAAAAAACAAATTGAAAAACGAGGAGGAGGGAAGAAGGAAAGAAAACAAAAATATTCAATTGCAGCACTCAACCCGGCCTTCGCCGTCGCCCCGTCGCCGTCGACGTCGCCGTTGAAGTCCACCACCTCCCCCGTCGCCGTTGAAGTCCCCACCTGCAACTGTTGTTGCCCGAACCCGCCACAACAATCTCACGAAAAGCAAGTAAGGAAATTACTTTTTGAATTAACTTTTTTTGAGAAATAAAATGTGATAAACATGATTTTATTGTTAGAATAATGAATGCAAGTCATTTTAGAACATAGTTGATGATTCTAGGGTTCGATTCTAGCCCTATTGTTGAAGGAATTGTGGTTTTACAAAAAACGACCTGTACTTGTCGATTTTTTGGAAATATTTCCACATATTGGTGTCGATTTTTTCATCTAATTTCGACAGCAAACAATTGTCGATTATTGGAACTTTTTTCGACATCTCAATGTCGATATTTGTACGAAAATTCGACATAAACCCAATATCGAGTTTTTAGAGCAAAATTCGACATTGCTGTGTCGAGTTTTCGTACAATTTTCGACACAAAGCTTATGTCGATTTTTTTTGTCCAAATATCGACATTAGGATGTCGAAAATTGACTGGTAAACTATTTTTTTTGCAAATTTTTTTTTTATATCCATCTACTCGGGTCGATCCTCCGGCCAATCGTACACATTTACCTACCGATGTTGAGCCTTCATTGTCCATACCTGAGGATCCACCGTTCACATCGACTACCGAAGTTGGTGGATCTAGTAGCCAATCGGCTGGCCCCAGAGGACCACAAATACCAGACTTGATGCCGTAGTTTGAGAATCATATCGCCCGACAGATTTTGTCCGGAAAGGTACTTTTACACTTATAGACACACATATACATATGTTATTGAAGTTATTTACTTTATTGATTGAATGTTTATTTTTATTAAAATTGTAGGAGCGCGAAAGTGTGATGGTTCATAATCACACAACAATGTTGGAGAAGTGGCGGCTGGCTCCTTTTATGACCGAGGTTGTCGAGAGGTCCGGTTTGATGCCCCTTGTACGTCATTCGTACAAGGTGATAGATAGTGTATTGGTGTTGACTTTCATAGAGCGGTGGCAACCAGCAACTTGTACGTTCCATTTACCATTTGGGGAGATGACTATCACGCTAGACGATGTCAGCAGCTTGACAGTTTTGCCAGTGGTGGGACGGCCGGTATTTATTCAACAAATTAGTAAGACGGGGCCATCGTCACAAGCAATTGTAAAACGAATTCTCGGAGTAGTGCTTGATTCGACGAATAAATATTGGGGTCAAAATCAGAAGGCGCTTAAGTTGGAGTGGTTGCGTAGTACTTTCAGTTCTGTGACAGATAGTGATGATGACAGCTTGTTTGTGTCTGCTCTATGAGGCGCTGTCGGATGCTTCAATGGCTAATACGAAGCAAATCAGTGGATATTTGACGCTTCTTTAGGGTTGGATTTACAAGCATTTCCCCCGTCTCACACCGACGGTTAGTTCCGGCGAGATTGAGGGACCGTTAGTTACACGAAATTATCTTCCCCAAAGCCCATCATTGATGCAACCGCCCGAAATCCACAATGACCATCCGACGCAACATTTTTTATATCTCGAACATATCTTCGGAACTTCGGATGTATTTGTTTAATATATATATCCTTGGTAGTTTTTTTTCGAACCTGCACATAAGAATGTTAAATTAGTAATACAGAATGGGAAAAAAAATTACAGCGAATTATCGACATATTGATGTCGAAAATTATGAGAAATATTGACATGTTGATGTCGAAAAATGTGACATATTTCGACGATAACGCGTCGAAAATTGTTGTTTTTTTCGACACTGAGATGTCGATATTATACTGATATATTTTTACGCCTTACTGATATATTACCGGTAGTTTTTCCAACACCGTCGATTTACCGGTGCTTCGATTGAAGATGTCGGTTACCATTGATACAGTGATCGGCTGCGGCATAAGCTGTTCACGTTGCTTTTGGATACCAGAAATAGGAATGCAACTCTCAGGAGTCATAATCTACAATGTTTAACCAATATCACGTATTACAAAATGAGAAACCAAAAAATGAACTATGAGCTAAAAACTTCAAAAAATTTACCTTTGGGGAACAACTATCTTTGCTTGAATGAAGCTCGTACTCAAATTTGGATGGGTTGCGTCGGGTTGATTTATCAATACACAATTTTTTTCCGGGACGACCTTTGGTAACAACATTTTGCATTGGCTCAATGAGAGAGTTACTCTCGGGGTGAGTAATCTCCCGCAATTTCATAAGCAAATGAACCCTTTTATTTGCGTCGGACTGATCGAAAACAGCCCGCCATGCTTCCATTTCTTCCGCATCAGTCGGGAGATGTTCATCCTTTGTACAAATCATTGGCTCCATGCTCAAGTGCTTCCAATACGGGTCTATCCAGTCCAATGAGATGGGAGTGCGATTTATGACGTTACCATGAAGTTCGTGGGCGCAAGGTAATCCATGAGTGGTTCGGATATCGCAAATACAAGACATAAACTCGTTCAGAAACAACTCAAGTGATTTTTTCACCTCAAGTTTGAGTTGCTCAAGAGAGTACAACGACACACATCCTCGAAGTTCGTTGTATATCGTTACTTTGTAACTGTGTTGGTAAGTATTCTTGCTCTTCTCAAACGAGGCTTTGATTTCCGTATGTTGATGCATCAGTAGGTTGTCAATATGAGCCCAAATCATTACAAATGTGCCCATACTATTTCCCAACTCTTTCTTCATTCGTGAGTGTGCACCCTCTACCCGGTTAGAAGTGTACGTTCCAAGATGCCTATGTTTGTTTGTCCAAGCCGAGACAATCATCTCTTTGTACGGATCCAACCACGAATGAGAGACATAAGTTAAAGCATCCGGGTAGTCAAAAAAATTTGTTTTCATAACATCCCATTCTTTATGAAATGACTCTTCTGTCTCTTGACCAACAAGACTTGCCCATTCTGACTCAAAATCTTTCCACTTATCATTGTTTGTTTTGAACATCTTCTTACAATTACTAAGAATGTTCTTGCTCACTTGTCATCGACACAAAAGTTGTTGACTGGAGGGATATACGATCTCTATAGCCTTCATCAAAGCCAACTCTCGATCTGTGACTATACAATTAGGTCTATGACAACTTTCCATGACCTTCGCCAAGCTTTTCAAGGCCCATACGTAATTGTCTATTTTTTCCGCCCGAAGGTATGCAAAGGCAACAGAGAAAGTTTTATTCGTAGAAGTAATACCCACAATCTATAGGAATGGGAGTCCGGATATGTTGGTTTTGTATGTGCAATCCATAACCAATACATACGGATAACTACATGCCAATTTAATGCACGTAGGGTGGGTCCACAACAAGTCCATTACCTCGCCAGTCTCCTCCAAATATCTGTGATACTCGAAGTAGTTATTTTCGGACAACTTCAACATCAACAATTGCATTTGAGTTCTACCAGCATTCTCTTTGAACTGGATCTTCAAACGAGCATTGTAAACCGTCTTTATTAAAGACGCATTTGTCGGATTCTTCAACTTTAGTGATGATAAGATTGCCTTTGGTTTCACCAATGCGTTTGACAAGTCTTCTACAAGTGCCATCTCTTCACTTGTTAATCTTCCAGCATATGAGTGGCCTTGAAAGTTTTCAAAATCTGAGTGATTGTGACTACCACATTCAACTGTCAACACCCACCCAACTTCTTCATCATCCATGCCCATTTTTTGGCCCTTCAACTCAAACGGACACTCACATTTCTTTGACGATGTTTGCCTTTTTCCCTTTCCTTTGTCGTCTTGACCGGGTACCTTTTTACCACGATACACTCCCGCACGCTCGCATACAAGTACCACGTAGGGCCTTCTACGTCTATTTTTTCCCGGGTTTGAAAACTTTACTGTCATTATCATTCCTAGTCGCATACCAACTTCGCGCACCCATGTGACTAAATTGTCCCTTGTTGCAAAATCCTCATGGGTGGTAAATTCATGTGAATAATCCAAAGCTAATTCCCTACATGCATTAGCTCCACTACACGCGCTAGGTACAAAACTCTGCAAGAAAAACCGGAAAATTGGTTACACAATTGTAACATTGAAAAATCGACACACCAGTGTCGAAATATGCATCTAATATCGACACCAGGATGTCGAAAATTTCAATATAATTCGACAGTTAAAGAGTGTCGATTTATGTTGAAATTTACGACACTACTGTGTCGATATTATGCGCATATTTCGACCTGTACACGTCGAATTTTGTGTACGTGAAATGAGGTGCGAAAAACGAGAAAAACGATCACAAAGTACAATATTTCTTACCTCTTTGTGTTCTTCGACCTTAGAATCCTCCATATTTATGTCTTGTGTATCCATCATGTCCTTCTTTTCAAGTTTTAGTAAGATTTGAGGGTTTTGTGTGATAAGGGTTTTGGAGAATATGGAAGATTTTTTTGTGGAAAAAAGTGTGTAAAATGAGGGTGAAGAAGAAGATGTTGGTGTTTTGTTGGGGGAGTGAGTTCACTCTCGTTTTTCCTTTTTTTTTATTCATTTTTTTTTTTGGTCTTGCAATAGCAATTAGCTTAATTTAAATTAATAATATCTAAATTATTATTGGGGTTATATTTGTAATTTCATGTCTTGATCTTAGTAAATTTATTTATATTTTGATCTTGCATGAAGTAAGGTCTTGCACTTAGTAATTTTCGTCTTGCAAATATACGCTGCCATAAAAATATTATAGGCTCCACTTGAAACTGACATTCAAACCATTAGAGTCAATTATACTATTTGTTTGTTCAGGTACATGCACTTGATTATAACCAACAATTATTAAAGCTCCGGCGGATTATTATTTAATCAAACAAAATAAAAATCCATCGAGTTTCAAAATTTACACACAAAAAAAAAAAAAGAAAAAAAAAAAGTCTTCAAGCTTCACGTAGTGTTCCATTTAATAACTTTTTAATAGATATTGATATAATACTAATTAAGACCAATCTCTTGTCGGATCATTTGATAATGCCTCCATCTTAATATAAACAAATTAGGCAAAAAGACAAAAACAAAAATGGAGGCTAAGAAAGTCTCATAAAAATAAATTATCTAGTATTCATGGAAAAAATTGCACCGCTTGGACTAACAACTTCTGAAGAATATTCAACATAAGAAATCGCATTTTTTCTCCAACCTCACCTATATATATATATATATATATATATATATATATATATATATATATATATATATATATATATATATATATACACACACACACAAACAAGCCAAACAATTATACAACATGGAATTCATCAGCTATGCAATCTATGGAGCCATCGCCTTCATTTCCCTTTTCTCCTATTACTACCGGCTTTCCGCTAAACCAAAAACCAAATCGCCACCAGCAGCCGGCGGGGCACGGCCCTTTACAGGTCATCTACACCTCATGGCCGGCGGCGGAGGAGGTGGTGGTGGTGGACTCCCTCACATAAAGTTAGCCGCCCTAGCAGATGAACACGGGCCTGTTTTCACAATCCGGCTGGGCGTCCACCGCGCCATGGTGGTCAGCAGCTCCGATTTGGCGAAAGAACTGTTCACCGCCTTCGACGCCGCCATCTCTTCCCGCCCGAAGCTAAGGGGGGCCAAACACTTGGGCCGCGACTTCGCCACGTTCGGTTTCTCTCCCTACAGTGCGTACTGGAAGGAGCTCCGTAAAATCGTCTCCGTCGAGCTTCTCTCGAACCGTAGGATCGAGCTTCTGCGAAAAGTGCGTGTTTCGGAAATCGATGAATCCGTTAAAGAGCTTTACAAGCTCTGTGAGAGGAAGAAAGACCAAGTATATAATTCCGGGGGCGGTGGAGTGTTGGTGGATATGAAGGAGTGGTTCGGTAACTTGAATTTGAACGTGGTCCTCAGGATGGTGGCCGGCAAGAGGTTTAACGGCGACGCGGAGGAGACGAGGCGGTGCCTGGTGGTGATGAGGGATTTCTTCCGATTGGCGGGGACCTTTGTGCCGGCTGACGCCCTTCCTTATCTTGGGTGGATGGATTTAGGTGGACGCGAGAAGAAAATGAAGGAGACTGCTAAAGAATTGGACGAAATCGTTGGAGGGTGGTTGGCGGAGCACCGCGAAAAGGAATATTCCGGCGACGATGATGATCGCGATTTCATGGATGTGATGTTGTCGGTTATACAAAGTGCAAACCTTCGAGGTCAATACGATGCTGATACCATTATCAAAGCTACATGCGAGGTATGTTTATTAGTACTTAGATTTTTCTAATTAGGTTGCATTTTGGACGGAAGAATTTGAATTTGATGAGAGAATTTGAGAAAACGATTCGAACAACTTGAAATTAACAATTTGGATTTATTGTGTATGTATATGTATGATTTTATTCAAACAAGTTCAATGAGTTGGTTAATATAAATTTAATTAATACTGATACGACGTTTCAATGAGCTGGCAGAGTTTGATCGCGGGTGGGACCGACACAACTTCGATCATGTTAGTATGGGCACTCTGCCTCCTACTAATCAATCGTCGCGTCCTAAAAAAAGCACAAGAAGAATTGGACGTGCGTGTCGGGAGAGAAAGGCGAGTAAACGAATCGGATATCAACAGTCTAGTCTATCTCCAGGCCATAGCTAAAGAAACTCTACGATTACACCCCGCGAGCCCCTTGGGGGGATTTCGGGAGTTCACCGAAGATATCAATATTAGAGGCTACAATGTTCCAAAAGGCACATGGCTAATAGTGAACTTGTGGAAGTTGCATCGCGATCCGCGCGTGTGGGGGGAGGACGCGATGGAGTTCAGGCCGGAGAGATTTTTGAGTGGGCCCCACATGAATTTAGATGTCAAGGGACAGGATTTCGAGCTGATCCCGTTTGGCGCTGGTCGGAGAATTTGCCCCGGGACGAGCTTTGGCATGCATATGTTGCATTTGGTGTTGGCTAACGTGCTGCAGGCGTTCGATCTGTCGACGGTGTCCGATGAAGTGGTTGATATGGCTGAAACTGTAGGATTGACAAACAACAAAGCCATGCCACTTAATGTTCTTGTGGTGCCCAGACTAACTTCTAGTCTTTATTAATTAGGTTATTTGGATTTTTATCAAGAATAATTAACCACCTATTAGATGCTATATTATTATGGGTGAAGTACACGAGTATAATATTTACTGCTCATCTAAATAAATGTATGTGAAAACGGCAAATCAGCTTTGTTCAATGTACGTATTTTATTTTAATCGGTTAATTGGGTGCAGGGCATACTACCCCTGATTTATATATCAAAGGTCATGTTGGCCAAAGTTATTTTTCTCGTTTAAGTGTCATTTTATAATTTCACCGACAATTTTTGTTTTCCAACTTTACTCTAATATTAATTAATTAATAATGAGGAAATGCAAATGCAAAATGGGTACTCTTGTCAAATAAGATTATTTTTTTTTCCTAAAATCAAGTGTGTTTATTAACTTTTATAATTAGTGTACAACAGCTTCAAACGACACTTAATACGAAACGACGACGGTAATAACTAATAATAAATAGGGGTCATTATAAATAAGCCCCAATGGTTACTTATTCATAAAGCCTCATACTTTAATATGCTTCAATTTTATCATTAATTTATTTTAACTTCTATATAACCTCAAATTTTATAAATTGTTCAATTTTGACCCAAAACTTGTTTTACTGCCGGATTCCGCCGTTGACCGGTTGACTTTTCAAAAAAATTTCTTCTTCCGGATTTTTTCGCCGGTCTCCGGTGTTGACTTTTTCGATTTTTTTTTTTTTTTTTATTTTTTATTTATTTCTGTAATTTTCTTTTTCGTTTAAACAACAATATTGATGTGATTAACAGTAATATTAACTATATTACTGTTAAACACAGTAAAATTAACTAAACTACAGTTTAACACAATAATATTGTTATATTAATCTCTAGCACAGTAATATTAACACAACAAAACCCATTATTATTGTGTAATAGAGTAATATTACTATGTTGACCGTTCAACAAATGTAAACATAATAAAAAGCCAAAAGTATTAATATTACTGTGAGTGACAGTAATATTACAATAATAGACAGTAATATTATTACGTTACTCCGTGAATAACTCAAACAAAACAAAAAACCCAAAAAATAATAATATTGATGTTGTTGACAGTAATATTATTGTGTTTACAGTTATTTTACTGTCAACAACAATAATATAATTACGTTGACTTGTCAACAATCAAACAAAATAAAAGAAAATAACAAAAAATAAAAAATAATAATATTACATTAATTTACTGTCAAGGGTAGCACAATTACATAAATGTATTGTCAACGGCAGTACAATTACGTTAATTAACTGTCATTACAGCATAATTACGTTAATTTACTGTCAGTGACAGCACAATTAGGGTCAACGTTTAGCGGTGGACTAAGAAAAAAAAATCTACAAAAAACACTAAAAAAAATCAACGCCGGAAACCGGTGAAAAAAAAAAAAAAAAAAGTCAATGCCGGAAACCGGCGAAAAAATCCGAAAGAATAAAAAAAAAAAAAAAGCGAAAAAGTCAACACCGGAATCCGACGGCAAATTTTTTTTTTTTAAAAAAAAAGTTTTTGAAAAATAAAAGTCAAAATTGGATATTTGTGGTCAAAATTGGATTTTTGTGGACAAAATTGATTAAATTGGGGTTATAATTAAGAATTTGGTATAAATGGTTGGGGGTAATATTGGCATATACATGAATGTTTCCTTTATTTAATATTAAAGACATGGACTTATTGGTGAAAGAGATATATGCCCTAAACCTAGAATAATAAAGATACTTAGTTGGGGACTTATGGACAAAACCCCTAATAAATAAGGATGCCAACGGTAGATATCCACGAAAAAATGCAATATCAAAAACCATTTTCATTTAATTTACCGTTTATCAAAACCATACCAAAATGATTTTAAAAACTTTATTGAAATACCAAAACCATTATCACAAGTTTTCGAATATCCACATATATTCATTTAGCATTTTCTTTGTATACATAATATTTTAGTTAGATAATTAAATTAAATTATCCCTTTTACTATGGATTCATATCAATGGTTGTTGCAAGAATTTTTTGGAGCGATGAATTGTAAATTCTTCGATGTGTTATGACATGATCCGGACTCATCTATGGTAGATGCTATTTTTATAAAATTTTCAAGAACAAAGTATCGATTGGAATCAAAGTTGAAAGATTTATGGTCCCGAATTCGTTTAATACAGAGATGTTGTATTAAGTATTATGACACTTAAGTAAACATGCAGCGGAAATATAAGGACAATACTCAGATATAAAAATGTTCACAAGTAAAAACTTGTGAACTTGCCCTTTACAGGACGTAAAAAATTATATTAAACAAACAGTATTCTAAGAATACAAAGGGAAGATGTACGAAAACTTCTTCCTTATGAATGAATCATTAACATGATCATTCTTACATTCAAATCTAGAAACAAAAAGATAAATACTAAAAATTCTAGATTTCAAAGAATGTACTCGTGAGAAGTACGTAAAGAACTTCTTTCTTATGGATGAATCACTATCTTGATCATTCTTACAACCATGTCTAGAAACATAAAAATTATATGCTAAACAATCTAGACTACAAAGAATGTACTCATGAGGAGTACAAACAACCGATTCTAAAACCACTCTAAAACACTCATGTATTTTTTTCAGCTCTCGGTTTTTTTTCTTAGAATCGATTATTTTCCTTGAGTCTTGAAGTCGGTATTTATAGACATTCCAAGCTTCCACTCCTCCGCCCATGATCTGCAAAAAAACCAACTACAAGAGCCCTCAAGAACATGAGTTAGTGGGTTAGTTTAGTAGTTAGAATAATATCCACAATTTAACCCACTAAGCACTACTTAGCCCACTAAGTAATATACTTAGCCCACTAAGCCATATACTTAACCCACTAAGTACTACTTATTCCATAACTAAAATTTAGTTAGAAAATAAGAAAGTTAAAAACAAAATGTGGAAATAATCCACGTGTTTCAAACTCCCCCTTTTTAACTTTCTGATCAAAACTAAATTTTAGCTTAACTCCCCCTGAGTCATTGCTTGAACTCCTCCTGAATATGATAACCAATATAGCAAATAACAAAATAGTGCAATCCTAGCATAAAAGTTCAGAGGGAAAATAACAAACTGAACAAAAACAAATATTGTTCATAAAAATAACTTTAGAGCAGACTTTCCTCTGCTCCTTCAGCTTCACCTCATTCTTTTCTTCTTCTTCATTAACTCCATGTTCTCTGCCTCTGGCATCCAAATGATGAGAAGTCCCTGCTTCAACTTCATGACTAGCTTTTTCTCCCCCTTTTTGACCAGAAAGAGTTTTTCGAAGCATTTCCACCATGGACTGGTGATAGGTAATCTGAGCTAGAGAGTGAGTAAGATGTTGTAACAAGAGATCTCTAGGAACAGAAACAAGAATGTAAGGGATGTTGTCAACATGAGGAGCAACACCTTCAGTACAAAAAATATTTTGACCTGATTCAGTTGAGAGGAAATTATCTCCATTCCAGGGAAGATCTTGGACATGAGGAGCTTTGAGAAAATTTTGAGAAACAATTATCATGCCAAGTGGAGTGTGAAGATATTCTGATTCATCTTGGCCCAAATTTTGAGAAAGCAGAATGGAGTAGATGAGAGAATTAAGGATAAGGAAGATGAGTGGAGGATGAAATTTTCTGGGCAAGATGACCTATATTATTAAAGAAAAGCTTTCCAAAATCAACTGGTAATCCCATCCCCAGTTTGTACATGAGTACTGCATGAGGTTTGGTCACCACAGAGACATTTTTGGATGGAATCCAATTCATCACTGTGAGTCTGAACATGACAGAGTAAAATGCAGTAAGTTGAGAAACTTTGAATTTTCTGGGGTGAGCAGGCCAACTTTTTAAACGATTGCCAGAAAGAGTCTTACAAACCTCAGTAAAATCACCATAATTATCCTCATCAATCACAGTAGGAGTTTGTAAATGAGAGTTGATAATTTTGGGAGAAAGGGAGAAAATGGAATTTCGCACAAAAACTTTGCCAAAGTTTGGAGAATTTTTCTTAAAAAAAAAAGGTTTGTAAATTTTTCAATAAAGGGATTATAAGGACAGGCAATCTCAACTAGACTAAGGATTTTTCTTTGATCAAGAAAATCAGTAATCCTATGTCTATCAAACTTATCCTTGGAAATTTTATTCTCCTCAATGAATTGGCAATTCATGATTTGAGGACTCAAATTTCAATCAGATTCAAAATAAAAGGTTGTACTGAAATCATTGTTTACCTCAAAAGGAGTTGACAGATCCTTCCCATCCAAGTCTAGCTCTTCTTCCTCAGAGGATTCCTCTTCTTCAGAGTCTTCAAGTTCATCTGGGATGTATGCTGGCTCAGGTGATGCAACACGTGGGGCAGCATCTTCCTGCATCTGAGAGGATTCCTCAGACGAGTCACTGTCTGACTCCGAGGATGGCAAATTTTTGCGAAAGGTGGCAAGGGGAACTTCCCAGCTATCATCATTTGTTTCTTCTTCTTCTTCAGTCTGGGAAGGTGATGCATCCACTTGAACAGCTGCCTCTGCCAGAGTTTCCAGAGGATCTGGATGTGGAGCTGAGGGTGTTTCTTCAGTGGTAGTGAAATCCTGGGCATCAACAGTGGGAATGTCTACATGCTCAGCAGAGGACATCCCAGAAAAATCAGGCATTTCCTCATCCTGGTAGGGAGCAGCATCCTCAGCAGCACTCTGAGGGGCATTGGCTGAGTCAGAGGGTGCATCAGCATCTTCTGGAACATGTGCAGCAACATCTTCAGAGACAGAATGTTGAGAAGCTGCTGCTGCCATATTAGGCTGAGATGTCTCCCCCTGAGTTGATGCTGGTGGAGGTGAGTCGTTGGACGATGACTCAGTGGAGCTTGAGGAGAGAACTTGGGCTTCAGGTTCTGCAAAAATAGAATCTCCTTCTTCATCATCAGTTTCTTCATCAACCAAATGAAGGCCTCTTTGTGGGTTTGGCCTAACTGGAGTACGACCACCTTTGCCGCCTCTTCTTCCACCTCTGCCGCCTCTGCTGGGAGAATTTCCTCCCCTTCGACGTTGTGACCCAGTTGCATTAAGATCTGGGAATGGATTCATGCGCTTGGACCGGCGAGTAGGAAACCTTCCTGCAGTGGAAGAGGGACCCACGTTCAGGAAGTTGTCTGGGTCAATCGGATTCAGCTCGTCTCCGGGATCAATAAAGCTAATCGGCATAGCTTCAAGGTTGACAGGATGAACGATGATGGCTAGATTAGGATCTGCTGGTTCAGG